GAGTGTTTTCATTCAGTGTGATTTTGTAATTGCATTTAAGACAGATTTGAGTCACATCAAACTCTGTAAAAAGCTTCCTACTAGCTGTGATCATAAAAAAAATACACCAGAGAAAATAAATTTCATTCTAACCTGGTCTGACCCACACGGTGACATCTATCCTCAGCTTGTTTGTCGTTGTAGGGATTGCAGTCGATATCATGCAGGATGACAACATTTGCTGAGGTGAGGTTGATACCGAGCCCACCAGCACGGGTTGACAGCAGAAACACAAATATCTCAGGGTCGGTGTTGTACTGATCAATCAACACAATCCTACAGAAGAAAAATTACAACCAATAAATTTTGGTGAGCACTGAACTGCAAACTTGTATTCTATATAATATATATTTTTCTAATGTAACAACAGCTGATGAGTTTTCAGGATCTGATTCTGAGAAAACCTGACCTGTCAGCTATAGGTGTGGATCCATCCAGCCTGACATAACGATGCTGAAGATGTTTCAGAAGCACTTCCACAATATCTAACATCATGGTAAACTGGCTGAACAACACCACTCGGTCTCCCTGTAGAAAAAACATTGGAGTTCAAATCTCATATTTGTGTAAATAACATTTATACACACTTCTACACGAACCACAGAAAAAGTGTATCACAAATATATTCACCTGGCTTTTTAGCAAGCACAGCAGCTCTTTAAGGTGGTGGAATTTCCCTGAGTCAAGCAAAAGATCGTTATCGAGCTGGTAGGAGCCGATGGAGGAGTACTGTCGACACAGGCGATGCAGCTCAAAGTCTGACATCACTGCCATGTCTTCTTGAATCAGAGCAGCACTGGCATCAACGTGTGTTGGTTCCTGGGGAGGGAGAAAGTGTAATACAAGGATTTAACACAAAGAGTAACAGAAAAAGAATATTCTAAAAGGAAATAATGGGACTTGTGAGAAACAAAAGCCAATTGAAAGAGTATAGAATTATGATAAACTTCAGCTTTTGTWCTTCCTTTTTACAGTGGGGTAACATGATGTGAACAGTATAACAGCAATTCTATTTTAATGGTTGGAATTCTGATGAGATAAAAAAACTGGTCAGGTAGTAGGACCAACCTTGAGCATAAGTTTGCTCATGGTTTCAAGCTTTTCTGTGGTGTAGTATTGTCTATGAAGAAGAGGATGGTTGGCCATCTTCCTCAACTGCATCATAACATTACACAGCTCACGCTCTGAAGAGAAAATACAGAAGAGAAATATTTACTGTGGATTACGTTCAAAATCATACCAATGCAGGTGACAGGTAGTGTTTAGAAAATCTAATAAAATGAGACATACTCTCTCCATTAGTGGAAGTTTTCAGTTTTTTTAGGAGGGCCTCGTAGAGAACCTTCTGTTTCTCACTCATTAAGCAGAACTCAACTTTTTCTTCTTTAGCCGGCAGCTGCTTGAGGACCTGGGAAAAGGAGGAGCAGGACACTGTTTTCTATTTGTTTTCATTTTAAAATAGTTGAACGTATTGACCAAAAAAGATGTGTGCTTCAGTAGAGTACTACAGCGGATAACAAATATTTCAGAAATGCAATTTTCTTGTGGGTATACATTATTTATATTTCTGGTTTTTCTCCTGTATTGTTTAATGTTTTACCATTGACTTACTGAATATTTTAAAATTTCTTTAAAAGTGTAGTTTACCACAGCTTCAGGCATTTAAAACAATTTAAATCAAGCAATTAACAAAAAACAAGACCAACTCACCTCACTCTTAACTCGTCGCAGGATAAATGGTTTCATGATGAGTTTGGCCTGAGAAATACGATCCCTCTCAAAACTGCTTTGCTCCTCATGAGATTTCTGACAACAAAAAGTAACATTTCCACTTTGACAAAAATCAAAATTTGCCCTGATGCTATTTTTTGTGATAATGCTTTTAGAACTTTTTTTGCAAACAGTGTTTTGTTTAATTTCGTTCTTGCAAAAGCTATCAAACTTGTTTTTTCCCCTCTAGAAGAGAGTCATTTGTAAGCACTGATAAACTCTGAAAGCTCATTAACTCGTACTGTACTTTACTTTTACCAGACTAATCTGATGTGAAAGTTTGCCCTTGGTGGTTGTAATGTACTCACTTAAAGAAATTGTTGCAAAACATGGAGGTACCGCCTACTTTTAATCAAGGTATCTGGTGCCATTCAATGTAAAGTTACAAAGATGTCCAAAGAAATTCAACTTACCATGGAAAACATTTTGGAGAGCTGCAGAGTGGAGCTGGAGAACATGGAGGGCATGATGAAGTTCAGCAAAGACATGAGCTCTAGAAGGTTGTTCTGTACAGGCGTTCCTGTCAGCAGCAGCCGATGTTCAGCCTACAGGAAAAATGAAAAAGGACTTCAGATGATACATGCAACACACTACAACAGGAAAATACATACTTCACATTAATGAGAATTTGTAGGCAAAAGTATACTGAAACCACATAAGTCTACGAACATTAATAGACATAAGGTGACGGTAGCGCAAAGTTTTCATGTTCTTCAACATGTGGCCTTCATCAAACACAGCATACTTTAGAGGCAGCTTGCGGAAAAGGCTGCGGTCGTTTTCGTTTCCAATAGCCAAGTTATACCTGTCAATCAAACAAAAGACTCAGCACTAATCTGACTGCTGTAGATTCAAGTAAAATGTACACATTTGGAGTGTTTGCTTACGTGGTCACAATAACGTTGAACTTAACTTCCTCATCAAGGATCTCACGTTTGAGGTAGCGACGCTCTTCAACAGACCCTGTAAAACAGAGGCACACATGGTAAGAGTTCACTTTAAGAGCAAATATCCAATTAACCTGCCGATTGTTAGCATAATAACAAAAAAATAATAATAACGTGAAAACCTTAAACAGTCAATTAAAATGTATGGCAGGTATACCAGGCAAGTAAAGATGTATTTTGAAAAAAATAAACAAAGATTTGGTGTTTGTAGAGATCAACAATGAAAGATTTACAGAAAACAACTACTGAGTGGCTCAAAGTTTTACAGCTTCTCTCTAAAACATATTTTGGTTTGAATTTTATCTTTAAATCACAAAACAACCAACACTCAGTTAAATAAAGCTTGCCATTGAGCTAAGTCCAACTTCAAATTGGCTAAATGCTTTGAGTTCTAGCATAAGTCATACCCTCTAATCAACATGAAAAATATGCAGGCAAAAATAATCATGATTTATTTTTCTGTAAAATATAGTGATTGAGTTTTACCATAATAAACAAGGACTTCAAGGCTTGGACACCACGCCATCAGCTCTCTAACCCAGTTATCTAATAGAGGAAAGTAACAAAATTAACAAGTTAATTACAGGTGAGATTTAACAGACAAGTCAGTGAAAAAATAAAACAAATACATCCTTAGACAACACATGCTGCTAGTTTTGCCTTTTTTTGATGTATCATAATTATATGATACGTCAATATCTTATCTCATATGAAGCAAACTGCCAAAGTATCTCATCTGTTAAGTTTCTTACCCAGTGTAGAGGAAGGCACAATGATAAGATGAGGACCATGAATTCCATTTTCATATAGCTGAGCCAAAAATGCTATAGCCTGGATAGTTTTTCCCAAACCCTGAAGGAAGTGAGAATAAAGAACAATAGAGGTAAGTGAAGACACTTTTAGATAACAGTGTTATAGCTAATACATTCCACTCACATGATGCAAGACTGATTTTTTTCCAGGCTTAAAACTATAACATTAGAGCATGACAATAAAAAAGTGAGAAAGCTAAATCCAAATATTCTGTCTACTGGCCTTTGTTACTGATAAGCAAAAGTAAAACAAGCTGCCTCTGACATTAGATCAGAACTGAGGAAATAGTATTTGTCACCTTGACTTACAACACTAAGGACATAAGATCCTTCATTTCCTCCACAGACAACTTTAGCTTTTCATTAACCCTCAGTTTTTAGACAATTATTTTAAACAGGCCTTTAGGAAAAAACAGATTAAACAAGCGGCAGACCATTTCATTTGTTTTAAACAATCTGAAATTCCACTTTTTAATAATTGTTGTCAGTGAAGAGTTTTGCATCCTACAAACATTGACTCACCATCTCATCTGCAAGGATACCACTCAGACTGTGTTCATGCAGGAGCATCAGCCACTTCAGACCGATTAGTTGATACTGTTTAAGTTCAAACCTGAAAGACAACAGAGTAGCAACAATATTTAGATTTCTCATGGTTATTCATCATTCAGATTTATGTTCACACTTTTTCATGAAACCTGTATTTGATCTGTCAATAACTATAGTACGGAATTAAACAGAAACGGATGGGAGGATGGATGGAACTCTACTCACTGGTTGTTGAGTATACTGGGCTGTTTTGAGGATCCTGTTCCACTTTCCATCACTTCAGTAACCCGTTTCACCATTTTGGAAGAAATTGTCTGACATTTAGACATGAGTCCTAAGACGACCTTTCGCTCTTTGAGGACAACTTTGCATCCTATCAGCAAATCTTCTGAAAGCCCATTTGCCTTATGAAAGACATCCCACTGAAGAGATACAAAAATTATATTATATATAATGTATAATACTCATAAGTTATAAGTAGTATATACAAATCAATCCTTGCTTAAATAAGTGAACAATCCTGATGTGTACTGACATTTTTTAAAATATATTAAAAGTATATTTATATTTTAAAAAGAAAAGCAAAAAAATTAAATAAAAATACATGATGTAAGATGCCATAAAATGAAGAGATAGAAGCCAGATTTACTCAAATTTCTACTCATAAGTCAAAGACATTTCTCACAAATAAATTTGAATAAATCTATGTATGTATTAACTTGTGCTATCTGTGGTAATTAACATAAAAATTAGGTGAATGACTTATACTGTAATGTAGATTTTATATAATATTTATTCGTGTACAAGAAACACAAACAGAAAAAAAAGTCTCACCAGGCTTTCCCATGTTTCATAAGGCCTCAGTTCCACAATCCTCTGGGCTTTTTTTACAGAACAGCCAGAAATCAAAGACAGCTCATCTATAGTTGCATTCTGGAAAAATGTGAGCATCTCTTTCCTTAAATCTGGTTTTCCACTTTCAACATGTAACTCATCGTCGGAATCCTCAAACTCGCTTGATACCATGTCCTCTTCAAGATCACTTTCCCCTTCAGAACTGATGGGTTCATGTGAGGCACGTGCCTTCATCTTTATCTCCGCTGCCTGCTTCTTAACAATGCTGGTCTGACTGACAAATCTGGACAAAGTCTGAGAGGTCGAGGAGGAAGAGGACGGTGCCACGTAGGAAGAGGTAGATGTTGGCTTAACCGAGGAAGATGAAGAGCCTGAATCAGATTTTTTTGCAATCCATGCAGAACGAACAGACAGGTTATTTTTTAATTTGGAACATTTGCTGCCCTCTGAATCCGAATCATCTTCACTGTCCTTTGTAACATCTGTATCATTTGAACTGTTCGCATCGGATTCCCTGTGATCTTCGTGGTCCTTGTCATCCTTATAATCCATCAAATCATCTTCACTGTCCTTTGTAACATCTGTATCATTTGAACTGTCTGCATCGGACTCCCTCTGATCTCCGTGATCCTTGTCATCCTTATGGTCCCTAGAATCTTTGTGGTTTGTACTTGACTCATCTTTTCTCTTTGATTTCTGTTCTTCTGAATTAAATAAGCAGGAATTTTTTTCTGTCAATTAAAAAAAATGGTGAAGACACTAATGAATACATACAAATAAAAAGTACAAAAAACATGATGAAAATAAGAGTGTGCCTAGATTCAGACAAAAAGTTGTGACTGCACCTGTGTCTGCAAACAACTGTAGAACCTGCACAACATCTTCAATATTCCATTCATGCTCTTCAAGCACCATACGCAGATCCTACACCAAACAGAGAGCAGATCACCATCAGAAATTTAAGACAAGAGGTTTTATTTTCTAAATAAGTCATAGCGATTGCTTCAGATTTCTTCCATTTGTCATCATTTTACTTGTGGATATTTAACTTGAATGAAAGCAGATAATATCGATGCTTTAATAAAGATTTATTTATTTATTATTTTACAAATGAAAGGCATCATTGACAGCAAATTTTCCCCACCAGCCACAGRGGCTGGTAGAAAAAGTTTTGTACCGGCCACTCAAACATTTTACCAGCCACTATTTTTTTGTTTCTGTAACACGGTGGCATTTAGACAATTCATAGTTCTTTGTGGCCTAATTAAATTGATTTTGCCTACAATCAGATAATGGCACTCAAAATCTATTAGTGTCTTACGAGTATTCAAGCRAGCCTGTTTGCCCAAAATTACAATGCACTTTTTGACGTCTCGACTTCTCTTACTAACTTGCTTTTTGCTGGTATGTAGGTGGAATACCAATTATTTTTAGGTAGGTTACTTGGTTGGAAAAAAAGCTTTTTAACCTTAATAATGTAGGAGAAAGTTTCAAGGTAAAAAAATAATAAATTAAATTACCTTACAACTAAATTACCTGTGGTAAATTTACCTCCATTTAATAAAATCAGCCTGTCTTTTATCACTTGTAGTTTTTGTTCTATAGGCTACTAGTATGAATATGTGTCTTCTGTTCTAAGTGAGATMTCAATAACAGATGGAAATCCCTCTGATGATCCATTGTCTCAGAGTGGCATCATTTCTATTTTTACTTTTGAAAAGATTCATGTCACATGGTTCACATTGCTACTTAGTTTGTCTGGGTTTTTGTTTTGTTATGCATCAAAAAATAGCCTGCAGAGAAAAGTTAAGGGGGAAAAAAAGGAACAGATTTATTTTTTATTATTTTGGCACTGTCAGCTGATCTTCATACGTTTCCTAGAGATTAAAAAACAGTGTTTCCTTAAGTTTTGGTCAAGTGATCACGATTATTGAGTTAAAATATTTAACAATATGAAGTTTTTTTTAAACTAAAATTTATGTAATATTCACGCATTGGCAGTTAGAAATAGTGTTCTTAATCAGCTGATTTCAGGTTTTTGCTTGATGCCAGCCTACAGCTCTAGCTTTGCTGTTTGTCGACAGATGAAACTAAATTGACTGCCCTGTTAAAGTCACCATTGTCTGATTTTTCCCTTTCCATTTATTGTTAAAAAAAACCTTTAACTTTCGGTTCTTCCTTTGGTTCCTCTTGAGAAAGGGTTTTGTTACCTACAGACTGATTAACTTCAGATATGTGAAGCCTGGTATATAGTTGATGCATCGCACCGGGCGTGAGGGGGTGTGCGCCAAAAGCGACGCAATCGCACCATCCCCGCCCCTGCATGTTGGCCCCGCGCGGTGTCCCGGCGTGTGGCCATGCACCTCCAAAATTTTGAAACTCCGCAAAGGCTGTGCGCCACTCATCGCGACGCTGAACAGGTCCGAATGTACCGGCATCTGTCCATAACAACCAGATGGCACAAAACTCATGGAAGGAAATAGCAACGGCTTTAAAGAAAGATCAGTTAAAATGCCGGAAGACATGGAAAAATATTTGCGACTGGTTTTTGAAAGCCAAGAAGGTGGTCAGCAGAAGTGGTGATCCTGGAGGAAACAGTGTGGATCTCAGTTCGTGAAGCACAGAGAAACAGATAATATGGAGAAAGAGATTTTTAGTAATCTTTTCCTGTTAAATCAATAAATCAAATCAAATCAAATGTGGTTACTTTGTTATGGGTGACGTCAACCGTTTCTTGTTCTACACTCTCTTGTACTACTTTCCCACTGGTTTGGCACTGTACTGCCATCTGTTTTCATTTCTTCACCGACACGGAACAGCGCGCAGCTATAAATACACACAGCGCGCGACTTCCGAGCGCGCGCACGCCGCGGAGCATGTGCGAATACCCAGAGAGCAACTATAACCGAGCCTTAACGCCACATTAAAGTTGGTGTTGGCAGGCTGACCACACAGATGACAGCGCGCAGGAAAGGAGGAGGGGAGAACTTATTTGCAGATGGTTGTTTGATGTTATTTAATGTTTTTTAATGTCCTACAGGCTCTGAAATGCAAAATAAAAATGAAACTAAGTTTTTGAAAAAAAGTCAGTAGCGCAATTTTAACGCTTTTTTTAGTTCATTACACACCCGCCGCCACTTCATAATTTTACCCGCATTTGGCCAGTGGCAGGTGCTAATTTCCACCCCTGGTTAATATTAAGGCTACAATAAGAGTTGAGTTGACATATATTTAAATCAAGAATAAAAATGTTTGAACAATTTTCCTATAACAACTGCATATATTCACCTCTTTTTTCTGCGTAGGAAACTTTCTTTGGAGTCTCTTCAGCATGGCCTCCTGCTTCTCGCAATTTGGTTCTTCCCTGTCATTTTCTTCTTCATCTGAAGCCTTTAAAGTTGGGGAGAAAAAGGCTAAACAATAAAAATCTGATCCCATCTCTTTTCAGTTCAAAAACACTTGCAAGGATTTACAGTTGGTCAGAAAAGCCAAATACATGTCATTTCAAACTAAATGAAGCATTCATGATCGTACCTCTGATAGTCTCCTTTTCTTGCTCAGCTGAATCTCACCACTGTCCTGAGAACAGCTGGATTCATCCTGATTTCTCTTCCTGCTTTTACTCTGAGCTGACAGGACAACACAAGCAGTGTTATAAAATAAAACTTACAAAAGTAAATCGTAGATTATACTTATGTGATGTTTACGCATATAAAACATTTTTAGTTTGACCAACTGCATTTGAACATTGGATTTATGAAGTTTACAAAATAGTGGAATTTATGAATAAAAACGCAAAAGCAGCCAGTGTTCCATTTATAAAACATAACTTTTTCCCCCTCCAAGTTATGACGGGAACTATGATTTCCTTCTGATAGAAAACAAAGTAAAACTTAGTTACCTTCTTCATCACCAAATTTTAAAAGGCAGACAGCTACAGCTCCATCCAGGGTGCTTGTATCTCTTAGGACCTGAGTAAACCAGAGAACATGGTGTGTTTAACAGATKTATACCAAGAAAAGAATATTTAAAGTGTCTCTATGTTAAAGGCCCTGTCACTAGTGTTGTAGTCAAGACCACCTAACCKGAGACCTAGTCAAGACCAAGACCACAGTGTCTCGAGACCGAGACAAGACCAAGACTTTTAGGGTTTGGACCAAGTTGAGACAAAGACCAAGGGAGGGCGAGACCGAGACAAAACCAAGACCAGGAAAAAAAAAGTGTCCTAAAAGATGGAGTATTCTGTACACATGTACAGTGGGGGGAAAGTATTTAGTCTCTCATAGTTGAGGTCTAACTATGATATCAATCACAGGTCTCTCTCATCGTATTAAGTGGGAGAACTTGAACTATTGGTGCTGACTAAATACTTTTTCCCCCACTTTAGCTAACTTAATATGTAGCGCTAATATTGACAAAATCTTTGTTTGGGGCGGAGGAAAGAATTTTGCTACAGATGCAGATTATTAATGTTAGTGACGATAAAAGTTTAAAGCTGTCCCATCATCTCTGAAAGTGAAGCACTGCTGAATTTACAAGTTGCTGTATGCTTTCTCCTGGTTCACTGTAAAAAATGAAATGTTGGATTTACATGTTATGTTACCTGGTTCCACTTAACTGAGTTGAGTAAATTCAAAGCAATATACCAGGTTTTTTTAACCAAAGAACATGAGTATGTTGCTTTGAATTTACTCAACTCAGTTAATTGGAACCAGGTAACAACATGGTTAAGTAAATCCAACATTTCATTTTTAGAGTGTATTTGTTGTTTTACAATATTATTTATGAATAATGTTGCCAAATTTTTTACTTAAAAATTTGAAGACATCCTTTACCACTCCCAGAGAACCACGGTTCACTTTCCGGGAGTGCTGCGTGCGAGTGACGGGGGTGGGGGGTGGG